TTTTTCTAGTTTTGCTCAAGTGATGCAAAATAACTAATGGACTCAGTTCTTCAGATCGTTTTGGCTCAGCAACAATTCCTATAGATTGCACGTAGAAACCTGTTCAAGATATGCACAAATTAATGTTACAGACTCAAAATATTTGTGTTATGATGTTCATTCCAGCTTGCCTGAAACCACCCTTCACATAAGGATCATTTTAAATTGAACTTTGTGAACCCTACTGGCAAAACTTCAGAAGCATCAAACTATCAATATCATACATACAAAGAGAGAAAGAAGTTAATTCAAGAGCATTTTAAGACTGTTTAAAAATAGAGTAATAGCTCTTTCTTTAGAAAAAAAAAAAAAGAAGAAGAAGAAATAAAAAGAAATACTTATGCAAAAGCCAACAAAAAATATAATTTTAAACTAGCAGGAAGTAATTGTTTCAGTGAAAGATGAGAAGTTTGCTCAGGAAGAGAAACACAGTGTGCATGTGAGACATTCTTACCTTCCTTTTTTGGGGTCCTATATGATTTGGTGGGACTTTACTGACTGACTGGTTAGATTAAATTGATCTGAAAAGCAAGACGAGCATGCTGTGTTAAGTATAATTTAATTATTTTGGCCAACTCTATCCAGCAATTATGTCTTAGAGTTATAATACTCCTCCAGGTCTCCATCTTTAGTAAACAAGCCCAACATTTCATTAATGGTTGAAAGGAACTACCTAAATATCTAAAAAGTTAGACTCTTAAGACATAATTATAGTACTCCTGCATGAGTGCTTTCACAGTCAGCAGCTGCACAAAGCTAGAGCATGTTTTCACTACCCAATGTGGGTCATATTAAAAATGTATTGTTTGTTCTCCTTAAAAATAACCTAATCACATCTCAGAAGCTATCAACATTGTTAGATGTTATTATTAGAGAAAAAGTATTGGAATACTTCAGTTTTGAAATAGAATGAAAAATACATCCCATTACAAGGACAGTAAACATCGCTTCACTACAAAAATGGATAAAGAAAATGCTGATTCATATACTAAAATTGAAAAAAGTAATCAAATAATAAATGGGTTGAAATGTAAATTAGTAAGTTATTTTTTTCCAGAAGATGTATGTTATCATAGCTGTATACTTAGATTTGTGGCAAATAAGAAGACTAAAGGTAACTAAAGGTTTTCTTATTAATACATATGTAAGCAAGTTCTGCCATTCCACTAATTCTTCCATGCACTAATTGTGTCTGTAACCTAAGCTGCAGCTCTGCTGTTGAGGAATGGTAACTCTAACAGGATTGTTTAAAGACAACATTCTCTATTTTCAGGCCTCTTTAAGTCTGATTTAGCATACCCAGGCATCAACAATAACTATAAAATGTCAATCTTCTCAATAAAGTTTTTAATAATGGGGTCAAACTCTATGTATGGTATATTCACAAGGTCAAAAGTGATTTAATTACCTTGTCTTATTGAATTACTCCTCAACAGCAGAATTGTGGTAACAGGTAAAGTACACACCTTAGAAGAGTCCATTTGCTAAGAAAATTCCATTAACTTAAACCACTATGAAACAGCACGTAAGAAAATCACCATCTAGGAGTTGTGGTTGAACAAGTGGTTTGTTCTAATGTGTTTTGCTTTGCAACTGCAACAGGCTAAAAGCTATATACAGGTCTCATCACAGCTTGGCAGAGAAGTAGCAGCTTGTTTAGCCACAATGACATGATTGCTTCCATTCTACAGCCATTTCCTTACAAGCTTTCCATTAACTTCAATGAAGAAGGGCCTGGTTGTACCTGTCTTATGTTAAAAGGGTGCTTTTCAGAATAGGCATACCAGAAAAGCACCCAAGAGTAACTTCTTCCCCTATCAAATAACTTTAATAAGAAGTAAAATAGTCTTGTCTTTAAGGCTCTGAGGAAAACAGGAAATAATATGGGCTCTTAGGTGAGTGGAAAATGGTAGATGTCAGGTTGGAAGACTAAGTTAAGGTTTGATGTCAGCAACTAGCAGAGTATCCCAGCATTGCTGTTTAGAATGTCCATCAACATCCTGGTTAACTTTGTAGTGTATTTTCAGTGAATTTAGAGTATTACTACCAGAAAAAAGAGTAGACTCTGATAAGGTAGAGAACTAGAACAAAATTCAGCAAGTTCTGCATAGAAGGTGCAATAGTTCTGTGCAGTAGTACAGTCTGGCAACCAAGTGATTGAGAAATAGTCCTGCTAAAAGGGACCACAAACAGAATGTGAACCAACAGTTTACTGTCTTGATGAATAAAGCAAATTGCATGCTGAGTTACCTGAGCTTGTGTATGGACAATGAACATTGATCTACTCCTTTCACACTTTGCTTGCTGCTGCTAAGGTTGCATCATCCGTAATGTTTTGTCTTATTTGGGTTCTCCTTTTTGAAGGGAGATGAAACTGAAAAGGATTTAACTGCAGGCTTGTAAGTAAATTTGAAGTATGGTAAACATGACAAAGGAGAGGATGAAAGGTCTTGCCTTCTTTAAGCTGTTTAAAAGGTGATCTAAATTAATTGGTTATGACTAACTGAAGGTTATCTACTCTAAATCTACCATCTTCCAGATTAAAACCATTTCCTCTCATCCTGTTGCTACATGCCCTTACAAAAAAAGTCCCCCCCATCCCAGCTCTCCTGTAGGCCTCATTCAGGTACTCAAGCCTCCCAAAACACAGAAAATATAACACATATAATATGGCACACATGACTATGGCTTCTGCTGACCATGAGTCAGAATCAGTTTGATAGCCCAACCTTCCCCTGAGGCTATCAAGCATCTGGACAATAGAACGGAACCAGTAGGTTTCTGTAACAGTTCAAATAATGTCACCCTTACTCAAAACATTAGCCAAAAAGAGTAATTGCTGAGCTATAACTACAACCAAAGCTTCGTTGCCACAATCTAGCAGTGGCAATTTCATTGGTTCTTCAGAGGAAAATGTTTTCATCCTTAGCGAGATCCTACAAAGTGTCTTTTTATTGTTGCAAATGTGGCTCAGGATCAAACCCAGCCTTCAAAAAAGTAATAAAGAAAATGTACATTTGTTAGAAAAATATTTCAAATTTTGTGAAGGACTGGCGACAACATGGTATTTATTGGAAAGTGAGCACTCCTCAAAGCGAGGATTTCAATATTCAGATATTGTTAGAATGTAAACCCATCTTTTTCCACTGTTCAAGTATTTCTGGAACAAAAGCTCTTTCCCTGTGCAACACAAGATTTGAGCCATTCAAGAAGTGACCAGAATCCCACTGAAAGTTTTTGGGTCTCAAAACCTAATGTAAATTGAGAATCGTTAAGATAAAAAGTAAAAGTTTTTTAAAATAGCCATGTAAAATAAAACAACACAGAAGATCCCTTTGAAATAGTTTTTCCGACATTAAAACTAATGACCTGGATTCCTAGCACATGTATGTATTTAACAAGAAACAAAAGAAAGTGCATGTGTATGGCTCCACAGGCAGGCATGGCAAGCAGTTTTATAGGACTGTTTGCTCAGGATTTGTTTTCTTTTAATGAGTTTGCTTCAGCTGTTCTTTTTCTCCCTTTGTATTCATTTTCAAAAAAAAGTAGGGGTTGTTATCATGCATCTTGGGGTGGAAGCTGCCAGAGTAAGTATTACCAAAACTACTTGACACATGAAAGAGTATTTGTGCACTCCTCTAATCTGAGAACAGAAACAACACCATATGACTTGTCTGACCAGTCACAACTAATCAACACAACTAGAAAAACAAATATCAGACATTGCATAAATACAGAAACTGTTCACAAGCAGTCTCAGCATTACTGTTGCATAACACGTACTTATGAGCTGCTTGTGGATTGATCATAAGCACTAGGAAAAAAAGAGGCTTGTGAGAAACATTGTTAGCTTACTTCTGTTTTCTTTCATTTTCAGCATTGACACTTAGAGAAAAACGGCTCCCTTCTTGAGGTCTTCTCAGTCCGCAAAATAATAATTTTAAGATAAGTTCCACACTAAGCTTCTCATTTCATTTTACTACAGTGTTCCTTTGCATTGGAAATCACCTCGCCCAACTTTTCTCAAGTCCTGCTTTTCAGTTTAACTGTGTATCCACGGTACACGCGAGTCAATACACTAGACTTTGTGCAATGTCCAGAATTACAACATAGCTGCAGCTTTGCCACAGTCAGTGCCAGGAGTTCTCTTTTGAGAAAAGTGGATTCTCATGAGCAGTCTAAAACCTGTATGGTTACTCAAGTCTTCCTCCTGGATGTTGAAAGTGAGAACAGAAAAATAAAGAGACTATCCGAAAAAGACCAATAACATATGGAAACAGTGCTTTGTTTGTTTTAAAATGTTTTGCAGCTTTTCTTCTCTTTTCTTGGTTGCCCTTTGATTTGATCTTCTGTATGTAGATTATGGTACTATACTTTTGTTATTCACTTCATGCTCAATGTCAGTTGCTCCACTGGGGAAATACGTACAAAAATTGTCTTCAGGTGTATTTTTCCCCAAAAGGAAAGTCTTCATAAAGTAAATCTAATACTAACACCTATGAACCAGATGCTCACTTCAGAATAAAACTGCCCTTTTCCTAAGGTCTCCTTCCCTTTGAGGGAGACGTATCACAGATAGCTCAGGAACTGAGGATCTGGATGTTTGAGGGAAAAGGGAAAAGACAGAATGTCTAGAGAAAATCTCCTTCTTAGGTGTTGCAGCACTGGAGCTAACTGTTCATCAAAGGGAGGCACTTGATACCTCCACCTTTCCTCAAGGTCTATGATAAGTATTTTTACAGCATTCCTGACTCTCTTCCAAGAAGGGAAGAAAATACTAAGGTAAGAAGTCAAGTGATTGTTGCTTTTACACATGCAAGTTGCTGATTCAGAGCTGTTCACAGTCCAGGGAACTGCCAGTGGCTCATTATCATTGAACACATTTAATATGACTCCTTTCTGCTTCCATATCTTTATACTCTCAAAGCAAGTTTATCAACTTGCAGTTTCCTATGTTTCAGGAACAAGTAACTCAGGCTTCTCAGTGTCTCCTGCAGCCAAAGGAAACTGACAACCAGTTCAGAAGGACCAGAACATCAGCAGACAGAGATCAGAATGAGAAAGCCAGCCTTTCAGCACTTATTTCTGTGAGAACATGCACATTAATTTCAGCAAGGAACTCGCCTAAGTGTTTGGGTTTACAGACATCACCATCTTGACTAACATTCCCTGGGATTCAAGATCTAAATATCCCTGTATGTGGGTTTCATTATGTGCATATTTTATAGACAAGCTCATGTCTTGCCTAACAACTCTAACACAACTAATAAAAAACAAGTGTTTTGAGTTGAAAGCAAGAATATTTAGGATAAAATGCTGATTAGAGCATTCAGCAATAGAAAGCTTCAGAGACTGAAAACTAAAACCTGTGTTTTCTATTTAAAATAAACAGCAAGCTATGGAGCATGTGAGAAAAATATACGCAGCCAAAACCATGAAGGTAATGAAGTTATTCGGTAGAAACCTTCAGTTAGGTATGAAGCTGAATGCTTAATGCTATATTCACACTCATGTATCTTGATTTGTTAATTAATATAACTTTAGTAAATAAATACAGACATGTAAACTAATTTATATTGAATAGTGATATATTTACTATCTGCTTTCATCCCAAAATATTTCTTTAGGCCTTGAAGTTTACTAAAAATGTTTAAACTCTGACAATAATATTTAAGTAGACTACAAATAACATTAGTTTTATCTTAGTTGCTTAGAAGTTGTGTAAGAACTGCTCTACTCACAGAGCTAGTATTGAAGCATTATTTATTGAAAAAAAGAAATAAAAACTGTGCTTTCAAGAAAGCATTTAATTTTGAGATAGCTACATTAGATTTCTTAGAGAGATTTTTTCCAGTGTAAGTCAGTATGCAAACAATAATCTGTCTTTCTTTCTTTGTATTTTTATTAGCATTTCCTTTGCCAGAGCACATTCAAAATATTTGCAGTCTCACTTGTTTCACAGGCTTTAATTTGATAAACCGTTTTGTTGGCAAAAATCTTTGTTGAAGATATTGAAGAGTGAACTGAAACCATCTTATTATTTCTCCCTGCCTAACTTGGCCCTAGGATTTTAAAAGCGAAGCAGAAAAAGCATGGTCAGTATTAATATTGCACTCCCAGTGACCCAGGGTAAACGTAGTGAAAAGACACACAAGAAGGTGCTGTTTTTGTATACTGAGTGTTCACAGCAGAACCACACTTCAACAGTTTTAAAGAAAGCGTTTACAACATCTTTGAAATGGAAACTCAAATCACAGAACACACTGCACATTGAAAGACATCCATCTTCAGAACAATGAGTCGGCGTTCTATTTCTGAAAAACATGAGCAAAGGAATGGCACCATAATGCATTTATTTGTAACGAGTAACAACTAGTTCTGGAGATAATTGCTAGGGGTTTGTTTACCAAAATCAGTTTACTGAATACATTTTGAAACTGGCTAATAATGTCACTACTCCATCTGTATCACCTTCAAAAAGTTGTCAGTTGTGACTATGTTCACACATCATTGGGGAAAAGAAGAAAGTGGAAAAAAATATATCATTTATTCATTTGAAATTTTTAAATGTTAAAAAAAACCTGACTACTACCGTGATGAATTTAGTCTGCTATTTCAGGGAACTCCATTGTGCTCTCTAAAGCATTTTGGATTTAAAAAAAGGGTGCAAATTACACAGAGCACTGGGACAGAAAAGCTTCTCATGTCTGTTCACTCCTTCATCACAACATACACATTGCTGCAGCCGTGATTTCCTTCATATACCAAGTGGTTTTGCACTTCATTATGAAAAATGCAATGCTCTCACTAAAAGCCAACATGCATTTCTAACCTAACTCTACAGAAGCCTGCTCAAGACATAGCTTTCTAATGTTAGTAAGCCTCTTCCCTGTATTATAGCACACTGTGCTATTAGGCAAAGACTGGGATCTCTAACAGGTCAAGGATCAGTGAAAACAGGTAAATCCTCCCAGGAGCACAAGAAACTTACTACACTAGGGAATGTGTATTCAGAGCAACAACAACAAAAACTAAAAGGAAAACATTTTGCTTCCCCTTTTGAAAAACAGCAAGAGATATTATTCATGTGTTGGTCAAATAGGCATTTGGTAAAGTACAGAATTTGTAATACTACAACCTGATAGAAAGTTCAGCAACAGTAGCAGGGGAGCACAATCGTAGACTGCAGCAAATGAGAACAATCTCACAGGCACAAAAATGAAGGAAAAAACTGCTTACCCTTGGAAGGCCACCAGAAAGCAAGGATCTCCAAAGAGATACCCTCACCTCCACTGCCAACCCTTGAATGAGGTCTGGGAAGGGGTGCATCCTGGTTCCACCCCTTCCAGTTACTTAGGTGCATTGCATGCAGCTGAGCTTCCCTGGGTTGGTTCTGCCTCCCCACCAAGTGCTGTTTCAGGCCATGACTTAGCACTTCTAGTACAGCATTGATAAACCTTAGAAAGGAATAAAGAAAGATGATTCACCTTTCCTCTCAATTTCTTTTTCCACTCTCATTTCTGTTGCTTCCTTCCATCTTTCTGTATGAGTGAGGCATTCAGTTCTTGTCATTCCCTCCATAACTTTTTTGTTCAGTCATTTACATTCCTAACAGGTAGGGGTGACATTTGCGTGAGCCTAATCACTGTTGCTTGCAATGCCCAGAAAGATCATAGTAGCTCTCAGTTGTTAAAATCTAGTTAGATTCAAATAGAAAGACTTTAGGAACACTGTATTCATATCTAACTTAGTATGCACCCACGTATAGATCTCTCAACTTCCTGTGGGCTAACAGTGCTGAGTTCTTCTCCAGTCACAAATGTCTTGTTCATACCCGGCATGAAACCCAGGCAGTGAACAAGATAAGATCCTCTCAGTCAGCCAGAAAGGAGCTCCTCTCTAGGGTTGGTTCATAAGGTGCAAGATCTGCCTACACATTTTTTTTTCTGCTCCACAGTAAGGATTGTGTCCTGTGACAGTCTAAATGTAGTAAAACTGGCTTACTTTCTGTATATGTGTTACTGTACTGTTATCTATTAATCTTTCTTTTCCTCTTTAGGATAATCATGCACCTTTATCTTGATATTTTCACTAACTATATAACTACTTGTTAGTGCCAGTAGCCCAATACATATTTTATTTAATTTGTTGGTTTGAACTGTAGAAAGCCTAAGGCAGTATTAACATGCTGCATGTATTAACATATACAACATGACTCTATGGAAAGAAGCCTTTAATGAGCTCAGGTCTTAACTGCGATACCACCACTCCAAGAAAAAGAAGAACATCCTTTTACTTTGGGTAGTTTTTTAATGCTGTTTTTCTTTTCCATTCTAAAAGAGAATAATAAAAATGAAAATTGTTACAGAATCATTCACTGATAACAACTTGTGCAATAACATGGAGATGAAGTCAGCCTCCAGAGTGGAATAAACAAATCCCCAGGAAACTAAATTTGACAAACATTAGTAACTTTGTAGTTTTTATACTTAATGTTAAAGCTTTCTCTTTGTGTTATTACCTGAGCCATGTGATTCAGTTTCATTAGTGAGGAAGACTGTAGGATAGCAAATATGCTCTCTCTCTCATGAAATATTTGAAATTTCAAAATATTGTCCATTCCACACCAGGATAAAAGCTATAACCTTTTGCCAATCCTCATTTAGGAAACAACATACCACTTTCAAGAGCACTCACAGTGAGATGAAGGCACAAATCACTTCCTTTATTTGGGATGAGTTATCAGCTTTCAGCTTAAAGACCAAAAGGATTGCTGTGAGCACCAGGCTATGCAATTTTCTTGTCTAGGAAGGCAGTAGATATTCTCTTCTCTTTCCACTGTCACCCCTAGCTTGGACTTTCTCTTTAAAATACTTATGTACATGTAAATATACATTTATGTGTTAAATATGCATTTAAATGCCAACCAGCTATAAGGAGAAATCTTATGAAAGGTTTCTTTAGGCCTTGTGATCCGTTCTTTTGCCAGTCTGTGTGAGGCAATATTTGTTTTGGGGTTTCTTTGCCAGTGACTGTTGGAGAAGGTATTCTTCGTTCAGCAGTATTATTGTTTGTTGTTGTTATTGTTGCGTTCATCTTTCTTACACTGTCATCTGGAAGTCTTCTAGCTAAGGATCTTGAGCATAAACACTTAGATTCAATAAGTCAAAAGAAGAAATGATTTACGAAGGGTAATGATAAGGAGTGGTAGTTCCCTACTGGGGAGTGGATTCATTTCTAAGAAAATAAATCTGTTAAATCATGGAGAATTCTGAAAGAGAATTACATTAGGCCATTACACTATGAACTATGTAATTACTGTTTTTCAAAATCTTTATTTCAGTCCTGATGAAAGCAAGCCCTGTAAATAGTCACAGAAATAAGCCTTATTCTTATCCCATACAAATCTATTTGGGATTCATGGCAATGAGGAAAAGGCATTTAACACCTTTTTTACTCTTGTAACTGTTTCTTTCCCACACTGAAATGAATGCTAACAGTGCAAATGTATAAGCAACATGCTACCACTAAGGGATCAAAAGAGGATATTGACAATCAAATACAGGGGGCTGATCCCATGCTCCAGGGAGTCCATGGGGAATCAGTGAGTGTCATGCTGGATGCTGCCACATTTCTTACACTCAAAAAAAGTAAAGGTAAAATCTTATGGAAGCATTTAAATACTAACAACAACAACAAAAAACCTAAACTAAACAAACAACAGCAACAACAGCACCGAAACACTGATTCAGTGAATGAGAAGTCAGTGTGACTTCTCAACTTGGCACAGTACCTCTTTCCACCACTCTATCTGGACCTAATCTTTTTTTCCTCTAGCGAAAACATATTGCACCCCAACCACCCTGCTCTTCTGTTTCTCTGTACCATACTTGTAGTATTTTTATGTTCTGTGATATCTGGGGATAGATTTTTACTAAATCAAATGTCCAAACATAGCTGTATGGTGTGTTTAAAAATTCAGCATGACATCTATTAATGGATTGGTAGTTGGGCAAATTAAACTTCCATAAAGTGAGATTCAAAAATAATACCTCAAAGTATTCACACACCAAAATAGGCCACAAGCAAAAAAGAGTTATGGATTATTGTCTTATTTTTATTTAATATTTTAATTTAGCTGGCTGTAGTCCCACAGTAAAACAAACAGCTCTCTCCCAAGTAATTCCTCAGAGTGAACAATGCTAATATTACAGTGATCTCTCACAGCATCAGTTTTTAGGTAATGAAATGATCACAGACTTTATTTTCAGAAAAAGGAAGGAGAGAAGAGAAGGCCATGGAAAAGGGTCATGGTTTTACAGCATAAATACATTTTTGTTTTTGGATCCAAGCTGATAATAATGTGAAGCCAAGTCAATTAAGAAACTTCACTTTGAAAAGCTGCTTCAAAATGGTTTCAGTTCCTCTTAGTTCCTATATGTGTAGGTAAATGTGGGATTATTTGAATTCTCAATGTCCTTCAAAATCATTGTTTTTCATTTGTTGAATGTCTGTGAAAATTCTCAGAGGACACTCATTGAGGATAGCATAACACTGCAGCACTTTTTTTTGTGCTGGGGCTGGCTTGTGAATGATTTCACACAAGCCCTCAGCTTCCTGTGTATACATACATATATATAAATGAAGAACTGACCTTTTGCTGATTGTTTCTCAGTTAACAGTCAGCATCTGAGGTGGGCCAGAAGCCAGTTGGTGCTGGGTGGAAGATGTCATGCAATTGTGAATAAATACCTGTTATGTTGGACAACACAACAGTTACTTTATCTTCAGTGGAAATAAAGAATACAGAGAGTGGGCTATTTCTCAATTAAAAACACATCTTTGACAGGAATTATGGTTTCTATACACCTAATAGGCAATATATCCCACACAATCTGGTACGCTATGGGGTTGATTTGGTCCCATCAATTTACCTGATAATAAACATGATATAAATGGCAGAATTTCTACAGATGTGTCCCCTTATTGCAAGCTAGATTCTGGTTAGTTTTTCTTTCCTAGTTCACAGGTCTTTATATTTTTGTCCACTTGTCTAGGAAGTTTGTTTATTTATCTATTTTCTATTTTTTCTAGTTTTTTAGTCTACCTTTATATTACTTTCAGATTAATTGCACAGTGTTCTGGAAGATACCTTGTTTATATACACAGTGAAAACACTTAGTTTTTCACATTCACTTATATTTGACATTTCTTTCAATATGACCTTTATGAAGTGTCGAGGAATCATTTAGAGAAGCATCTTAAGGAGAACAGATTGACATTTCCAGAAGGGAACTCATGAGTTCAGAATTTTTTCGTTTTTATCAGCTCTTCTAGACATGTGCCTTTTTAAGAGCCGCACCTAAAGAATGGCATGCAAATCAAACTAGATTACTGATATCTACAGAAAACATCACCTTTGGCACTCGTGGATCCTCCAATTGCCACACAGAGGCAGTGAAGCAAATGAGTTCCACTTTTTCTTGTATGTCTCACTTGTCACAGGATTTATTTGAAGTAGTTGCAGACACTGAACAAGACTTTGCCTCTGTCTCTGTTTCAGTCCATTTGATTTGGTGCCATCTTCCAAGAAAGGAAGAAGAGATTTGGTGAATGGGAAACTTGAGGAAATTTGCTTTAATCTGTGCAGGAATGCCATATGTTCCTGCATTCATTGGAACAAGCTGATGAAGTTTCTGATAGTGGAAATTCAGAGTAGTTTCCTATATATGTCTGCCTACAACTTCAGCTGACATAGAATAGTAAATAAAGAAAATAAAAAAGTCACCCTTAGGAAAATAAAAAAAATCTCTTATCATCCCTCAAGATGACCTTTCTCATTAGCAGACACAAGAAATGAGGACAAAGCACTACAAAATGCCTACATTAGTACAATATGATGTCTACCAAAGCAATCACTTTGCTTTATGTGATTGGAACAGTTGCTTGCAATGTCCAGTTTAGTAATCAGGGTAGTTACATCTTTATGGTAATATCAGTAATATTAATACCAAGATAACAATAAAAAGCAATTAAACAGAGTGTTGCAAACTATGAAATTCATCACATGGATGCGTTCAGAACAATTCCTAAGTATCAAGCGTACACATGTGCTGAAAATGCCCTAGAGCTCATAATTTGTTTACCATTATAGGAGAAATATACATCCCATCTTGAAAACAGTAGAGGTTCACAGTTTTTATTATTAACTTCATTCATTCCTGTTGCATAGAAGAACAAAGGGAGAGGGAATGTTGTTGGGTTTGTTCCTTTTTGAATTTCTATGTACTTTATTAAAATCTGCCTTTTTACAGTTGTTCATGAAAGACGTGTGCTGATGGCTTTTGCCTTCCCAAGCAGCCAGTACAAGTCCCTGGTTTGCAGACAGTCGCTGGGTAGCTGCCTGCCGATGGGAAGGACTGAGTGAATGTCTTATGGTGTTTGATCTGTAGGCACATTTTTTGCTTTCCCTGTCAAATTCACATTACCTCAATCCATAAGCCTTCCTTCTATTTTCTCTCCATCAGGTGGGAGAGGGGAATAGGGGGTGGGTGGCTGGCTGGTGGAGGGATGAACTTACCACAACCCTAATTCCTGCTCTTTGTATGGAATCTGGGGAAATAGAAGTAGAGAACACAGTCATCTGTATTACCTTTGTTCCTCAACTGCAAAACATGGGTATCCCTCAAGATATATTTTGATCTGAGGGAAATAAAAAGTATTTTCTGAAGTCACTGAGCTGGAGTTTATGACTACCGTGACAGTGGCATATCAAAGCTGGTTTTAAAGTTGCCAGCATGCATACACAGTTGCTGTTCAAATCCAGAGTAGGCTGAGGGCAGGTTAACCTCCCATTTGGTTCACTAACACCCTTGGGTTTATGGGCAGAGCAGGCATCCTGCCCTGAATTTCTCACCAGAACAGTTCTTCTCCCTGTAACTGAGCTACTTAGTTTAAAAGTGGTTGTAGAATACCATGCATGTGCATTTCTTATTCAGCACCAAATATACCAATGATAAAATAAGAATTAAAGTAATGCTAACTCCAAATAGACATGTTAAAATGCTTCTCACCTGAACAGAATTTTTTTTTTTTGCATTTAAATTTCAGAAAAGAAAATGTAATTTTCCTTTTTTTTTTTTTTTTTTTTTAAGGTAATGACATATTGACTAACATTGTCTTAATAATATGTATTCCCACAGTTAATAATTGACTACTGAGATGCAACCAAGTGGAAGCTGTGCCTTGTAGAGATGCACATTCACAAGATTTTTTCTGACTCATATAATCATAGAATAGATTATGTTTGAATGACCTTAAAGACATTCCAGCTCCAACTCCTGCCATGGGCATGGCTGCCTCTCACCAGCTGAGCTGCCCAGGGCCCCATCCAGCCTGGCCTTGAGTGCCTCAAGAGATGGGGCACCACGGCTTCTCTGGGCAGCCTTTGCCAGCACTTCACCACCCTCTGAGTAAAGAATTTCCTCCTGAAATCTAACATGAGTCTCCCCTCTTTTAGTTCAAAACCATTCCCCTTTGTCCTGTCACTACCAGACCATGTATATAGGCTCCCTTCAAGTACTGAAGGGTTGCAATGAGGTCTACTCAGAGTCTTTTCTTCTCCAGACTGAACAAGCCCAGCTGCCATGCCTGTCTTCATAGGAGAGGTGCTCCAGTCCTCTGATCATCATCATGGCCCTTCTCTGGATCCAGTCCAATAGTCCCATATCTTTCTTGTGTTTGGCGTAAAAAGGGGTTAGGGAGGCCCTCAGTTTGAACTCAATCACAGCTCGTCACCCTCAAATCATTTCATCATCAACTGTTGTTTCAGTTTTGCCAAATAATCTTATTACTTATTTTCTGTGTGTACTGTACTTGTTTTCTTTGTGTGAGTAAATTGTACTCACAGAAGAGGGGAAATTAGAGATGTACAAATATTCCTTTTCTGATGTAGGTGTGGGGATCCCTTTCCTCAAATTCCAAAGCTCATGACTATTTTTGTTTCTTAAGTAGAAAGCAGATGTGATTCCCTCCTCAAACCTTTTGATTAGGTTCTTTCTTCTGATAATCAAATCCATACTCAGCTAGCCTGACAGTTTGACTGGGATTTCTCAGTCTGCCAGTAAAGATTTGAGAGGTGAGGAGTTCTGAGATACATCATCTTGTTCGTCCTTTTACTGTTGCTCTAAAACTGATAGCACTACTGAATCAACTCTTCATCTCTTGTTATTTCCTAAGCACTGGGATCCACAAGTCTGTAAAAAATTAAGTTAATTTTGCCTTCTGTAAGTATGAAGGGGGACATTATTCTGTTTTTGTGGATTATTATGCAGATTGAGAACTCCCAGTTCATTTAGAAAGCACAGATTGTTCTTTACCTTTCAACAAAGGTATCTGAACTGGATTTCGTGTGTATGTTTATTTGGCTTGTATTTCATCTGGCACAGCAACCATTATTCATCTAGAGGTTCTTTTCATCTTTTGTGAAACAAATGGACATTTAGTACTAGTATCAAAGATAAGATCAAATACACAGCTGGCATAAATCACCCTAACTCAGTAGAGTTGCTCAATTACTACGGTCAAGGTTCAGATCTTAAACTCACTCCCTGTTTCCTTCTGTACAATGTTAATAAAAACTTAAAATAGCACATTGCCTTGCTGCCATTCCACAGAAGATGATATAGCTAACCAGCATCCGCTCTCAAGCAACTGACCATGAATGCTTCTTGACTGTGGCATGGAGTGTCATTGCTGATGTCTAACTACTAACATGGCACAAAGAATTTTGGCTGTTGGTGTTTGTCCTGTGAATTATGAGTCGCCTATTAGGGTTGGTTTCGAGAAACCTATTGACTTTGATACATTTAACAAGGAGTGGCTGTTAGCCTGCTTACAGGCTACAGAAAGAAGAGCTGGAATCACTGCAGAACAGATCCATTTTTATTTATTTATTTATTTTGTCAGAAAATGGAAGATTGTGATCAGTTTCTGTTAACTATATCATTTCTTTTCTTTCATAGAGGATGGTTTAATTAGGATGGTTTCAACTGTTAGAAGCTCCTTCATGTAGCTTTGAACCTTTCTACGTGAAAAAATACATGCATACAGTGTCATGGACATTAGCGGAAGTCTGATTTGTCCTGCAAACTTTCTCAACTCATGCCTGGAGAAGAACAAAGAGCCCTGAAAGAGGTTCCTTCTACCATGTACTTCTGAATTAGTTAAAACAGTCATAAACACTTTCATTATAATTTGTTTTTAGTTCATAAGGTTTTGCTTCCTCCAAATTGTTCTGAGTATTCCACGTAAAACCTAATACATAAGCAGATTTTTATCTGAGTTCTATGCTTGCAGTTAGAAACAAGGGCTTTATATCCAACTGATCTATATTTAAATGACCAATGCTTGTCATGTTTATATTCATGCCTTATGAAGATAAGGCATGAATATGCACACTGTAGGGATAGCTTTAGCATCTTCAAAAGTTGGCAGTAACATGTATATAGCTTGTATTTAAACTGAAAAAAAAATCTGAAATGCTTGGTAGTTGTAAGTAGTTAGTATGTGTACTATTAAATTTATAACTGCAACACTCAGAACTCTTTGTGGGTTAACTGTGCTGAACACGTACCCTTCTCCTTGGTAGCTCCTTGCATTGCTCTGGCTGGAACATTTCTATCTCAAGTAGACAGTTTAAGTGTAACTCCAGCATTTCTAGGCTATATTTCAATGACAGCATTTGTTGTACTACAGATGTGCCTTAAACTTTGTTCAATGAGTCCTCAGCAGCCCATTAGTAACACTGAAAAGATGAATGAACAGCTCATTATAGCTATATTTCCCCTTCTGGAAAAGACATTTCCATAGACAGAAAGTTACATCTAGAAGAATGAAAATACATAGCAGAAATAGATCATCTTCATTCCAGGTCCTGTGGCGATCCTAGCTGATTTGGTCTTCTCAATGAGACCTCTAGGACACTGTAAAAAGTACTGAATTGTTTTCTCTTTCCATTGATAACTTCAGCCATTTGGAGTCATAGAACTGGAGGAGGCTCATCTTTGGTTCATGTATACTCTACTTGACAGAGAGTGTTCTTCCTTGCCTATGCATTCTCCATTCATGCCAGCTGAGGTTCTGGCTTGTTGAGTTCCATATTGTTTTGATCTAGCTTGCTCTGCTAGCTGTGTACAGAGCCCTGGCAACAGCAACTGGCATAAACACCTTTTATCTTCTTGCCTGGTAATTCAAAACTGGGTAAGCAGAACAATAATTCTATGTTCCTTACTAAAAACTCTGAGCATGCATTGTAACTTTATGGGGAAAAATATTGCCTGCAAACTTTCAACAGCTGTAACAGGTTGTTCTAAGGGCATTAGCCACTTGAAGGTCTTTGCAGTGTATAACTGTGTGTTGAAAAAGGCACTGACATTTCCTGCTTTCATTTAATTGTTTATGTCTCTTATTTTCAATCTCCAAATCAAAGTAGTGTGTAAAAAAAACAAAAAAAAAAAAAGGCACAAGTTTTTGTGTTTTTGTGTGAAGAGTGCATTGCTGCTTTGATGCTTCTTTCTTCTGTTTTATCTTGTGTTTTCCCCACCCCCAGGTGGCTAGCTTGAGAGAGACCACCATTTCAATTTTTCCTGCTCTTTACCCAGTATATTCTGCTTTCCCTTTTTCTCATGTGAGAAAGATGACAATTGAAGTGGAGTAACAAATATTTAAGAATGGGACTGTGTTTTCCTCCCATTTTTGTGTGTGTCCATGATACAGCAGATGTAGGCATGCCTCCTGTGAATCTGAAATATGCTTATTAAAGGGAAGTAAATTTTTTGATACTTCAAGCTGTGCTTTTCAGGTTCAATTACGTACACTTATTTGACACATCTGTTACTGCTAGCACCAGGAGTCTATATAATTCTTTCACAGACTGTCACCTCTGTGTAATCTGCGTAAGCCCTGACAGGAATGCTGACCTTGTGTTGCCCTCCTGCATTTGTGCCTGGGCAGGTCCATGGTGACCCTTTACCTTCACATCAAGAGAAATGGAGTGGTAGGAGAATCCACGACATTTTCATCCTGATAACAAATGACCACAAGTAAGAAGATTAATTTCTTTAAGGAGGACAATTTTTTCCTAAGATGGAGCAAGACATTTTTTGGTACTCATGCCAGGAAACTGTATGGAGTGTTTCATGGCCAAATTCTTTGAGCTGCATTGCTTTCAGATTCCTTCCTAATTATTGTGATGTCAGGAATGTCATATCCTAAAGGTCACTTACACAGTCCTAGAAGCAATGCTTTCTCCCTGTCCTTCTCTCCCTAAGAAATCACAGTGAAGCGATCAGGGATCTATTCATATCTTTGCATCTTGTTTGAACACACTGATTGCTTGACTCACATTTACTAAATGGTCCAATCACTGGAAAATTAAAATAAACCAGAAACAAATGAACTCACACTAATTAAAAAACAAAACAAAACAAAACAAAACAAAACAAAAAAAAAAAAACAAAAATCAAAATGGACATCCCAAACAGTGTCCTTGACAACTAGAGGTTTAATTCAGCCAGCTGCTATCTGCCCTAGGAATGCAGTATTCTCTTTTTTATATATTCTCTGCCAGCTTCAGATATGTTTCTCTGCTTCAGACAAAAACATCTTTGAGCATCGTGTCAGTCTATTAATGCTGTAGGCAGTCTGCATGGGACTGTAATACGAGGTTTCTGAGAACTGACTGGAAATGGTTTTATGAAAAATTTAGCCAAAATTGTCAAAATGGTTACTGCCTTGGTAGCTACAGATATTTGGACATGAAAGTCATCTTTGTGCATTCAGAAATTTTGATATAACTAGAACAATATGAGGGGAAAAAAAAAAAAAAAAAGCCATTTACTATATGCTTTCCATCCATTTCTTTCATCTGTGAAAAAAAGACACTGTACCTTGGGGTTATTCGGTTGCATGAATGGAGGATGTTCTGAAAGGCACACTTCCACTGCTGCAGAAATGGCTAAAGAAGCTTCAAGATAACTTGCTCAGGTAGTGGTACTGGTCTATTATAAGCTTACAGACATCTTCTGGGAGGAGCTCAGATTCATCAGGGCCTCAGCAGGACTAGAGACTCAAATCATGCCCCTGTGCAGATAACCAGCCCTCCTGCAGTAGAACTGACCCCATCTACAACACAGCTAATGCACGGCCAGGCTGGGCTTCCCATCTGCAGCTGAAAGCAGGTAGATCACCTGTGTGGGTGCTCTAGGAGGCTGGGCAGTGTCACAAGCTGCTAACTGTTGTGCTTGGATCCAGGGTGCTGCATGAGAAAGTAAGAGGTGTGAATCATCTCAAGCAGGGAAGGGGATGGAGAAAGTGTCTCACATGAGCCCTATAAACTCTTAGCCCTATAAACAGTTGTGTGGGATAGAGATTGTGCAACCATTTTACTTTTTTTTTAAATTGTTTTAGAAGAACAGTGTTTAACCCATACATCTTAGAGAAATATGGTGTATTACTGTTACTTCAGAACTCCATTCTAGACTAAGCAATTCTTCCTCTTCCTGTGGCACACAGGGAAAAACTGGATGCTCTGGATGTTTGTTGGGAAGGGCACAAGCCACCTCAGTTGTTGTGCAACATGCCCAGGTATCCAGTCAATGCCTCTGTCTCCGCATGGGTGTTTACTAGGGGTGGTATTTTGTCCCTGGCTTCCTTATGTTTTTTCTATTAGGCTTCAGAAAAAAGAAGAAAATTCTAATTCTAAAAGCTAATATCTAGCTTCCTTACTTACAAGCTTCTCATGCTCAGAAGCCTCATGCAAAACAAAGAAGCAAGCCTTTCTCCTCATCCTTCTAGGCTCAGCTGCACCTCACGAAGGACAGTGCAGCCTGGGGCAGAGGTCGTCCTTGATCAGCCATGAAGGCCTTTGCCACTCAGGCAGCACCACGAAAGTCCACTGTAGAAAAACTTTTGGGTATAAAAACATCTGTGTACAAAGAATTCGGAAACGTCAAAAAGTGGTGTAGTTGTGTACAGAGAAGAAGCTTTACCTCATTAAGGTAATCTTAAATCTTTAAGACTTTTCCCATCTGCGCAAAGAATTGTTTTCATTTTTGTCCCAGTTTGCTTTTCTGTTTTTCTTTTACTTTCCTTCCCCTCCGCCCCCCCCCCCCCCGGCCCCATCCCTTTTTTTTTTTTAAGTGCACCAAAATAGCTAAAATAGCTCTCACATTGTTTTGGAACTTGCAGTACTTCTGTTATGCTGTAACTTGACTTAAAAAAGGAAGCTTGATTGGTCCAGGCCTTCGAGGAGCTGGAAAATAAGGACCTATGCTGAGCAGCATACAAAAGAGATCCAGGCTCAGTCTCATAAAGAAAAAACATCTAAACATTTATGTGATTACTAGGAACAGTATATTCTCCTGCACCCATGTGCTGCTGGATGCATTCCAAGATATTAATAGCAGTGTGGCAGGGCTGTACATTATATTGTTATTTCCTCCTTGGAGAGAACAGAATGTTAGACTGTGAGAATATGACATGGAAACTATGTGAGTTGGCTGCCCTGTTCTACTTTATTTACTCCTTCCTAGATCTTCTGACTTTGGGGCTTTTGCAATAACTTTAAAAAAGATTCATTTTTTTGCCCACGAAGAGGAACACTGGAATTTCTACATCAGATCATATTGTGGGCATTAGTCCAGGCTTCTGACTCTATCTGTCAGAAATACAACAGACCTGAGGACTCAATAACACATTAAGCAAAGGCTAAATCTTACATTTTGTTTCAGTTACAATGGTGACATACATTGATGCTTGCTGAATGTTTATGGAGACCAAATAGTGGATGTGAGCACTGGATGTGAGTGAGGCTGTGGGTGGTGCATTTCAGCAATGGTGACAGTGATGTGAAAGACAAGTCATGTTCTGGATGGTCATGCACAGCTGTCACACCACAAAATGAAGAGCATCTTGATCAGCTCATCCATGCTAATCAGTGGATTACAACCAGGGAACTGTGTGCAGAGCTGAATATTGGCTTCAATGTGTTGGAAATGATGATAGCAACACTGGAATATTACAAACCTTGCGCCAGTTGGCTCCCATGAATGCTCTCAGGAACAGAAAGAACATGTATACAAGTTTGTCAGGATCTACTGAACTAATATGAGCCAAAGGTGACAGTTTCCTGGTTCACATCATTACCAGTGACAAGGTTTGGTGTCTCCACTACGAGCCTCAGTCAAAATTACAATTCATGGAATAGCAACATATGAATTCCCCATTGAAGAAAAAATTCAAGATGCAGCTCAAAGTGGGTAAAGTGATGTGAGCTGTCTTTTGGGATACGAAAGAGGTGATCTTCCTGGATTTCCTGGATCCTGGACAAACCGTCAAGTCTGATCAGCACATTGCAATACTTACTAAGCTGAAGGCTCAAACTCCCAGAATAAGGCCAGAGAAGAAGACAGCCTTTCTCTTGCAACATTATAACATCAGGCCCCATACCAGTTTGAAGCACACTGCCAATGTTAGCTGGGCTATCCTGCCATACACACTGTGTAGTCCAGGCCTTCTGACATCCGCCTCTTTGGGCCAGTAAAAATGGATTGCATGGGTGACATTTTCCTAGTAATAATGCCATCACAGCAGCTGCGAAACAGCGGTCACCCCTGCTGGTGCAGACTGTCACAAGCAAAGCATGCAGACTCTTATTCATTGCTGATGAAAATGCAGAGCTAATCGTGGTTACTATCTTGAAAAACAGTGTTTTGTAGTTGAGAATTTGCTCTATCAAGTAGTGTTATTGTGCTCTTTGTATCTGGTGTAGTTTCCACGGAAATAAATAGGAGGCATTACTTTCAGAACAACATACAAGTTACCTTTCAGTTCTCCATGCAGAGTTCTCTGTGTTAGTTACCATACAGTAACTCTTTGAAGAGAAGATTCTGTGTTGCCATAAATAAGCAGTTGGATGGCAGTGGAAAGGGAGTATGCAAAGCTTTGCCATATTTCATTCCTCCCTCACACAGAACGGGAACCAACAGCAGCTCCTGTTCTCTGACAACTGTGTGTAATGTTCCCTGTGGGACAGATGGGATGAGATATGGCTTCCCAAACCATCTGAGAAAAGCTTTCTCCTGTGGAGGGATTTTGCTGCAGATACATACAAGATGCATGGTCCATCTAGCAGAAAGTCTAAGGTACCAAACCCTGTACAGCTGTGCTCACATTGCTTTTTGGAGGAGCTGCTTTGATTAACAGAATCCTGGAGGTCTTTGGTTAGGAGAGAGTGAGATGATTTGCTCCTGAGGAATGAACAGTGTTCATTCCGTGTGGGTAACAAGGATTTGTGAACTGAGCAGATTGAATTACTGGGTAGCACAGACGTTGGCTATGGGCACCCCAGTGTTTTGGGAGTGCTTTAAGTCCCATGATGTGAGCTGAAGTGGGCTTCTGTGTTTGAAATTTTTGACGGTCATGTCTACATGTACACAAATTCCTCACCCTTCTTTACTGGCTCAGTTAATGTAAAGAGGTAAGCATATCACTCGGGCAGCAATCTGTGGACATTTTCTTTGCAGCTCTGCAAAGGCTTTTGCCTGTCTATGGAGCCTGCCTATGGACTGTGGGGGCCATTGGTTTGCCATGGCTCACCTCCCATTCTTTTTCTTTCTGACCTTCTCTCATCATTCTAGACCCAAGGGCCTACCTAGTACCAATTGCCAAAGATAGTCTGAGTGGATCTTAATCTAAAATACTTCTGTTTTGTCTTGGCAATAGAAGATACATTCTGTATAGCAGAAAGTCCTACAAATACTCAACTTCCACTTTCTGAAAGCAATCAATTGAGCTCTTTGTTATTTCATTTACTGCCAGTGTGAAATCATCCTGAGAGTCCTACTCATGATTTATTTGATAAAACAGTGCTTCTGTTTCTTGTAAGACCGTTCTGCTATGCACTCTTTATTTTTCTGCTTGAATGAGAGTTGGATCCAGCTCTGTGATTGGAACTGAATTCTCCAATACAGTTTCTCTTTGGGTTGAATCATGCTTCAGATTTCTTTGCAGAGACCAGTCAGAGCCAGAAAGCTGAGTTTTGCATTGCTGCTGGAGCGGTTCAGATGCTTGTCATGGGGTAGTTTCGAAAATAGCAATAGATGTGCAGGTCTAACTCCATATTAGGTCTGTCTCAGTGTCAGGGGCTGCAGAGCTGACGTGCAGAGCAGGAGGGACCTCCGTGGCTCTGAAGCTTTCCAAAACATGCTGACAAAGGTGCCCATTGAGAAGATAAACCTCCAAAGGTCACAGTTTGATATGAAAAGAGCTTCATTTCTATAAGCAGGAAAGGGGAGCAACTTTTTACACAGTCTAATAGTGATAGGACAAGGGAGGGGATGGCTTTAAACCAAAAGAGAGGAAATTTGGGTCTGTTTGGGTGGAAATTCTTTACTCAGAGGCCAATGAGTAAGACCACCATTGCCCATGGTGTGGGGCTGTGTAGTCTGTGAAGTGCCTTCTGTCTCAAACCACTATGATTCTATGATCTCCTTCTATACTAAGCAGATTTGTGAAATGCTTGCTGCTGCAAGATTTAATGCTGTATGTGGCATTGTGGCATAAGGCTCATTGCATTTTTGCTTTCTTCTGCTTTACTTGTTGAATACAACAATGAATGAGGAATGGACAGCAAGACCACTTAATGACATGTATGGAATTTCAGTTTATTTGGTTTGGAGTCCTTCTGGTTTTGTATTTTACTTTAAATGAAGTGTTGAACTACAAATATGTCAATATTATATATATATTTTATAATATATAAGGAAGATTTTGCCATGGTACCTTCCAGCAAATAAAGAAAGATGCAGTGTCTCAGTCTGACACATTGAGCTCATCAGGAAGTTACTTGTGGAACAGCAGCTGCAGGGAGTGTTAATCTAGAGAACTGATAAGGAAACAGGATGGACTAACTCACTTTCCTGAAGTGCTTATCTGTCACTTAGGCTCATGTTGAGTATTCTAATAATGTGCAGACCCTCATAGCCAGAATCTGTCACTGAGGTTTCAGAGGAATCAGGGTTTGCATAACCACAGGGGGTATCCTTGCTATGTTTCCTTCTCTTCTCTTGTTCCCAGCTCTCCCTGTGTCTGCAATGTAAACCCTAAAGCCCAGGGCAAGGCAGCAGGTGAACCTGTGCAAGGCAGGTGGTCAGCAAGCAATCAGGCAGCAGCACATCCTCACACAATATTTCAGAGCACACACAACCATGCAGGAAGACCATGGCTCAGATGTTCAGTGAGATGAAGAGTGGGATGGAATCTGGTACCTGAGCATCATTTGGGCCTCTTGGCAAGGACCCTCGGTGCTTAAAATAGGCTGTTTATTCAAAATAGACCTCTGCTTTAAGGAGCTCCTTTTTCATGTAACCTGACTGTTCATTAAATGAGTCTTTGATGATGGCGCTGATGGCTGAAGTGACCTTCATCTGCACAATTCACGCTCGCCAATTCACCACATAGCCCTGTTTGACCTTGGAGGGTCTTTTTAATGGAAGCAGGATAATAACAGTCGCGTGACCATTCTGCTGGTTCACAGAAGTAAATGTGTTTATAAAACTGGATGAAATGCATTGTCTGTGATTACTTTTTTATTAAAAAGAATTCAGAGGCAGCTAAATGGGAAGAAGCCAAAAAGCATATGGAGAAAACAATATCCAAAAAGCCGAGGACGTGCTAGAAAACCAGCAGTCAAATAGGAACAATAACACAAAAATCAATAGGAAAAAAGGCATGTACTGAATCCAATTAAGTTTGCATTGATTATGGAGAGGAAAACAAAACCAATTTTGATGCATCTCTCTAATATTCGATCTTGAGAATGGTGTTCTTATTTAAAGCACTCTCAGAATCACTTTCCATGATATTCAGCTTTCTCCTCTGAGAACGTGCCACATTTCTGATTTGTGCCAGAATGAAACAAAAATAAGCAGAGAAGCCACTAAAACTAGATTTAAGTTTGAGAAGTAAAAGTATCAAAAGAACAATCAGAGAACTGAGAGAATAATAATTATTAGCAGTGAATATAAAAATCACATGCTCGGTGTGGGAGCTTAAATTCACATCACACCTAAGGCTTGCCCCAAATCTCTAAATAAAATTCTTTAGAGTATACATCAACACTTGGTGTGCAAAGGCATGTCTATTTACTCACCTAACTACTGCCTTGCTTCCTAACATTTCCAGGTGATCAAATAAGTTTACATCAAGAGCGAACCTGGATCAGACAAGTGGACGAAATGTGGAGAATGAGATAATGTTTAGATTGTTTGGGATTTGGAGCTCTGAATTTCATAAGCAAGATGATTAAAATCTATTTATGAGTAAAACCAATTCAGAGTTATAATGAAAACATCTGTTCTGGCTTTGACGTTATTTTATTGATTTTGAAGTTTCACTGACATAATCAAAGTGAGAATGGTTTCAGGATTGGAAGTAATTCAGAAATATTGGGTAAATTTCAAAGATATGGTTGTTTAAGTCTGCAATTTGGGGAAGAGAAAGGCCTGAGAATGCTCTTCCTTTGCGTCCTAATAACTGAGATGTATCCACAAAATATTATATTCTGCTGAGATGAACTCACATCTAACATCGAAAAGTGCAGTGTTTAATCTAGCACAGTTGACCAATCTCATGGTGATGTGAGCAGAAAACATCAGATGTGCAATGCAGGTATCTAAGAAGTTAAAATGAATTTCTTTCTAAATATGTTTGCCTCTCAGCCGGTGTAAAAACTTAAAGTGCTCATCTTTGTGTTAGGCAGTTAAATTAAGTGAGAGAAATCACAGCTT